ATACATTTGCATGTAAATTATATAAAAATAAAACATAATACTTATTCTTAGCCTTTAAAATGAAGTCGTCCTTTCTTGTGGAAAAAATACATACCTGGCTTGAACTCCCACCACCGCCAAAACGTGTTTTATCCACCGACTACATAGCACTACATAGAAGTACATGTGTCGAAAAATGCGACTTTAGCACCATTGGTGATGTGACTCGGTAGCTTATGACTGACCACACTATTCTAATGGGAGTTAACAGCCCGTGCCAGGAACCCCTCATTTCCGGGAGTCGAAGCTATTTTGGGACACCCTGTACACATACACATACATAGAGTTTAATATGACATTAAATCAAAATATTTTAACACATGCTTGATAGTGACGGTTGAAAAATACAAGAAGAATCTCGATTCGAAGAAGATCGATGGTAACTCGATCGTTGAAGAAAAATCAAGAGGTATCGCGAAGGTGATTCTTAGGTCGGGGCTGGGTTCGGTCGGGTTCGGGGTCGGAGTCAAGTTTTCCTGGTTGCGACGTGCGCTGTAACCGTTGCGCCGTGTAACCTTCTGTCAGCCGTCGTCACCGGAGACCGAGTACTCGCCGATCAGAGGAAAGATGGCTACGAACTTGGGGGTAGAGTGTCAGTACTTTTTCGAAGATGTCGTCTACCGTGTGGACAAAAAAGGTAACGTTGTCTTTGGGATCGTTATGGAGAACGACGACGAAGATTTATCCGAAGAAAGTTCTGACAGTGAAGAGAGTCCGAAGAGGAAAAAGGGCGAGATTCGCGTGGTCTGGCATCCCTCCGGTGTTGAGGAGTTGGTCAACGCGAAAAAGGTATTCGATATTTAATACGGCCCGAAAATTCGTGTCTCTAGTAAAAGATGTCCGTCACATAAAGCGATATTATTTATTTTATCCAACTTTTTTTTCCTTTCTTATATTTACGTTTTTGATTCTATGAAAAGCGACACCTGTCATGCGAACAACATATCTATCAAATATTAAATTCAAATTTGAATTCGATACTCCAACACAATTCTTTGTTCTCCAATCAAATAATATAGTTATGATGAAAATTTGATTTCTGTTTACAGGTTCACTTAGCAGACAGAACACTTATGCCAGGGGATGTTGTGCGTCGAATGATCAAAGGAAAAGACACACAAAGAGGATATTGCAGAGAAATTGAATTGACTGCTTGTGTGCAAGCGATTGGTAGTAAACAGGTCCTTACAAACATTAGGAGTGAGAATTTAGTTCCTTTGGAGGTATAAAATTAAAGAATGATATAGTAATTCTTTTTAACCAAACAACTTGTAGAATATAAGGAACATTATCTGTTTATAGGAATTTGCAACAGATATAGCTGTTTGCATGGATTCTTGGGTTGGTGGTATAAAAATGGCACATTTCAAGTTATGGCTAACTACACCTGATGGATCTCGTTGTGTTGTAAATGACATGGATTCTCGCGTCTTAGGACAATTAGAAGAAAAACGAGATAGTGTAAGTGTTCCAATGGATTTGAAACAGTTTCTTCGGTTGAATGTACAATGAAGACTTTCTTTTTAGGATAATGACTTTCCTCATTCTTCCGAATTTTATCCCGGTCAATGTTTGTGGGGACCAGTTCACTGCCTGGAAGATGCACAGTGGATCACTTGTACAAAAGAAATGAAAGCAAAAAGAAAAACCAAACCGTTGAAAATGACAAAAGTGACTGTAGAAAAAGTAGAAACAGATTGGGTTGGAGTGTACTGGCAGTGTCAAGCATATTCGAAGGATGGCGCTTGGTCAGATCAGGCCCAACCAAAGTTTGTGGTAGAAGGAGAAAACTTGAAAAAATTGAAAATATTAAACGTATTTGAACCCTCAACCGTACAAGTGGGAGATCGAAATTTCTATGTAATTAAAGGTGACGAAAATGTCATAACGCGAGAGCAGTGGAGGAAGCAGCAAAGAGACGTATTTCAAGGTCCTAAGCATAGTCCAAAGAAAACCCATCCGAATATTAGTATCACGAAGCAAGCAGAAGACAAAAAAAAGGATAAAGATAAAGAACAGCAAGCGTTAGAGGAGAATGCTCAGAATAATATTAATAATTTACAAAACATAACAAGCAATAACACTTTAATGCCTCTGGCAAAAAACCAAAATACTGAAAGTTCCGACGATTGGGATACAGAAGACACGGGTTCGCAAAGTGATAGCGCTTCGGTAAGATTTTCTATCGTTTTCCAAGTTTGTTACACTATAAGTAGAAGTAAAACATATTTTTGTACCCAGGTATCCAGCGGTTGTTCAAGTATGTCGTCTATGGGTAAAAAGAAGAAGGGTCCTGCTTTAATGACTAAAGTATTGAAAAAAAAAAAGTTGTGTAAAGCAAAGAAAAAGATTCCACCACTTCCACTTATTCCAGGAACTAAAATTGTTGTGGAAACATTATCCACGAACACAAAAGCTAATGTAGTGTGGCAAGATGGCTCGGTAGAATTTGGTACTGTATCAAAGATATTTCTTTGATTATATAATTGTATGAAAGTTTTCAACTTTTGTTATTATCTATCTTTAGGTATCCCATCGACGCAACTTTATCCGATTCATTATTTGGATGATAAAGAGTTCTTTCCAGGTGATTTTGTAGTTGATCAGAAGGAAGAATCTAGAATGTATGGTGTAGTCCAAAGTGTTGATCACCAAGGTAGAACAGCCAAGATAAAGTGGTTTAAAACGTACACTTCTACTCAAAGTCCAAAGTAAGTAGAGAATTTTACGTTTAGAATTAAAACTAACGAAATGGACTTGAAAAACATGGTTAATAATCTACTTAAATTTTCGATAGACCAATTTTACTAGAAGAACGTGAAGTTAGTGTCTATGACCTGAAGGATCATCCAGATTTTCAATACAGACCTGGTACGTTAGTAATTCGAATAGCTAATTTCGAAGGGGAAGATGCTGGATGCACTGCTGGTCAAGTATTAGATAATTATCCAGAAGGACGGGTTAAAGTGTGGTGGGTTGATGGGCATGTAAGTATGTGTTGGCCTCAAGATTTGTATAAAGTAGGCGAATACGACAGCGATGAGGGTGAATTATGGGACGATGTGTCATCGGATGCGTCGTGGGAGACAGAATTGGAGGATTGTTTCATTGCTGACACCGATGGAACGGAACAAGCGGAGCTTAAAAATATAAAGCCAAAATTAGCTGCTCACATTGAAAAAGCTCGCATTGCGATGTCAAGGCTGGAAGAGATCTTTACTCAAAATCCATCGCTTCAGACGACCGAGGTTATGCGAAAATTATTAGAAGTGTATAAAGACTGTCGATGCATGGATAAACTTATGGGTACCTCTTTCTTTCATGAGAGTCATTTTCAAGGACTATTGGAAAGAGTCCGAGAACGCGGCCGAGCGAACGTAGCTCAGCGTATGGCGGATCAAGTGACAAGATTATTTACTCATAAATCCGACGGTTCCGAGGAAAACATAGAAAAGGATAATACAGAAAGTACAGAGAAAGTCATCACCGTAACAGACATGACAGAATCCATCGACAATACAAACAACCAGAGCACAGATAAGCAACAGAACATAAAAGGCGAAGAGTCAAGCGATCGATTGTTTATCAATGTCAATCCAAATCCTGAAGACTCTGGATTATATTCCGCCGAAAATTCAAAAAAAGAATCTGGCTCGAGCGAGTCAAGCGGGGAATTTCTACTCAGTGAGGATGCAAACAATGTACCTGATCGTTCAGCGGAAAAATTTGAAGCCTACAAATCTACAAGGACACAGTTGCATGTAACAGGATCTCACGTCGCCGGTTCACAAGTTTGCGTCAAACTTTGTACTTTGATAAAAGCTCAGCTTGTGTTAGCGCATGCAGAAGTCTCGAAACGATTTGGATTATCAAAGATGTCATTGTCTGATGCTGAAAAGGGTACATCTCCTTTAAAAAAGCAGAAGAAAGAAGAAGAGAAACGTGTAGAATTATTGCAAGAACCATCCGAAACCCCGATAGAAATTCCTCCCCCAATATACGCAGAGGGGGAAGGATTTTCCATAGAAGAAACAGCCCCGGATTGTCATAAATTTAAGTTAACGATGTTTCAACCTACGGATCCCACGAATTTTTTCCGAACTGTTTCCAAGGAATTAAAACTTTTGAAGAGTTCACTCCCCCCCGGTATATGGGTAAAAGGATTCGAAGATAGGATAGATTTATACTCTGTAATGTTTCGTGGACCGGAAAAAACACCGTACGAAGACGGTCTCTTTCTTTTCGATTTTCAATTATCTGCCGATTACCCTGTTGCTCCACCGCTTTGTCATTACATCTCTTATTGCAACGATAGATTGAATCCGAATCTTTACGAAGACGGTAAAGTTTGCGTTAGTCTGCTTGGAACGTGGTCCGGTCGTGGAACGGAAGTATGGACTGGTTCTTCGACTTTATTACAAGTTATAGTCTCAATTCAAGGCCTCATTCTAGTACCCGAACCATATTTTAACGAAGCTGGCTTTGAAAACCAAAAAGGCTCCCAACAAGGGAGAGAAAATTCAAGAATGTACAATGAAATGGTTGTTCTGAAATTGGTTCAAGCACAGACTAAACTTCTTCTACACCCGCCAGCTATCTTCAAAGATATTATTATTGGACATTTTAAAAGACACGCGAATAAATTATTACAACGATTAGACTTATGGATGGAAATTTCTGAGCAACACAACAATCAACATCCATTGTCTCCGGTAACACCTACTACTTTTAAACAGATATCGGATGTTGGTACGTTGTAATTATTTTCTCTGTATTGGTTGTATAAAAGTTAAATCGATTTACTTAATGATTGTCTTTAATTTCAGACAAAAAGATTCTTCCAGAATTTCCATTGATACCGGCATCCAAAGGCTTTTGTATAACACTTCGTAAAACTTTAGCTACGTTCAGAGAAGTACTGATTAAGGAGGGCATTATTGAAGGGGGCAACGAAGTAGATGATAGTAAACACATAAATGAACAAACGAACAGTATCAAGAACGGATGTTATGAACCATGTAAAATTGCTGACGTTGATATACAAGATTGTGACAGCAATAAAAAGACCAGCCAAGAAGGTAGTAGCAGATTAACATCAAACGGTAACTTGTCCAATGACATTGTTTCATCATCTTCGACGAATATTTCCACCACGCCACTAAGCGAAACGAAGAAAAACACTTCGGACCGTACTATCAGCTAGCCACAAGGTAAACCTAAGTTTAAACTTAAAAATTTAACATATAAAAGGTACACGAGTATGCGGTAATATATTCAACTAATTTATTTATATACATATGTTAAAAGTATATTCAATGATAATTGCGGTATCTATTTCTTGAATACTAACACCACTATTAACGAGCGATAACATTTCAACAGAAACGCCGCTGTCATTGCTCCGCAGCTAGATATACATATATATTTGTTACTATAAAGTAACTATAATGGTAACATAAATAAATGCGATCATATAAGCATGTGTGAGAGCAATTAAGATCTTGTTCTTACATAGAATACTATCAACTTCCAGGACCTATTATACAATTAATTTATAATGTTATATGAAGTATATAGTGGCGTGTTATATATGGTATATAGCAGTATAATATTAATCGATGAAAAATTAATATTCTGTCAGGGGATGGAGACACATGGAATACCACGTGCATTTAGTAGTATAATTCTGCAATGAGAATAGAGCGTTCCTTGAAAACGCAATAACAACTCGACTGACTTACTAAGCAAAAGGGGCAACGGAAATCTAGGGTATTGGGAAAAAGACAAAAATGCATTGTCACTCCGTTAAAAAAAAACAGAAGTGACAAGAATCAAGAGAAAGGTAAAGTGATTGGTAGCAATACGTCGAGCCAACAGAGTAAGAATACTTCGCAATAGCGTTTAAGAAACACGAGTACATACTAATGGGTAGCAATTTTGAATGAATTTCAGTGAGTATACTTTGCGTAATGCCGTCACCGATTTAAAAAACTCATTGTTCTTCAACTACGTTAAAGTCATTATGTCATCTACTGCATACAGTATTTCAAGTGACATTGCGAAGTAACTTTGATTCAAATAGGCTATAGCTTAGATAAAAAGATACATATTTAGATGAGAACCTATTATTATTAAGTCTAATGTTAGAGACACTTCTAACGTAGTTTGTAAAGTTTAGTGAAATTGCATTAGATGCTGTATTATCTTTCGTAAAATTTCCTTTGCCGATGATTGGTTTCGTACATTTGGAGGGCCATTACGTGTTCTTACGGTTTCTTCCAAACTTTTCTTTTGATATGTCACGAATACTATGCTAATGAACTGTGTACGTAGTATTATAACAACAATTGCGGAGAGCCTTAGTACTTACCGTACGGCGTAAGCGTTTTACAATATTATTTATATTTATTTTTTGTATTTAATTCCATACTCCTTAGCATAATGTAGAATATATTTGTTTAAAGACAGGAAAGTCACGTTTCTGTACATTTCAAGCCGATTGCGTATAACTGAAACAGGAAACTTGGTACACACAAAATGAAATTATATGAAAATTTATTATAAAAAAATACCACATGCAACGAAATAACAATGAAGTATCTTTGTTATAAGATGAACGTGCTTCTTTGTTTGCTTTTACTCTTTTATTTTTTTATATGATATACAGGGTGGGGCAATAACTCTGTCCATTTTGAATATTGCCGTTATTTGTAATAATATGAAAAAATGTTATATACCAAACTTACACGGTATAGAGGGGGTCATATTGTGACACAAACATTTTCGGCGTGGGTGAAGGCATAGAGGAGATTTCAAGGTCATTTCTATTTTTTTTAATGGAATGCCATGTTTTTTTTATCGCGATGTGATAGCCGGTGTTGAGACGACTTCAGCGAACTATCATTGAAGGTCCTGTAAGGTCAAAACAAACTACTGTGGTAGTAAAATAAACTTTCTTACATTATAGGAGATGCTCGAAGTGGTGACCGTTTGCGTTAATTCAAAGTTGCAATTTTCAAAGTTGAACTTATTCTAGCACATGCTGCAATTATTCGTTGTTTCATATTTTCTGGTGAAGTGGGTACTTCTTGATAAACAGCATTTTTCAATGCTCCCCAGAGAAAAAAATCTAATGGGGTTAAATCTGGAGAACGAGGTGCTTAAAAAAATAATCCTCCACGTCCTATCCATTTATTTGGGTAAAATTCGTTCAGTGCATCTCTTACTCTCCGAGCATAATGTGCTGGACACCCGTTGTGCTGTAACCACATCATTTGGCGAACGTTTAGTGGTACATTTTCTAATAAAATCCCCAATCTACTTCATATAAAGTGTGCATATCATTCGCCAGTAATGTAAGAAAGTTTATTTTACTACCACATTTGACCTTGCATGACCTTCAATGATAGCTCGCTGAAGTCGTCTGAACACCAGCTATCACATCGCGATAAAAAAAAACATAGCATTCCATTTAAAAAAATAGAGATGACCTTGAAATCTCCTCTATGCCTTCACCCACGCAGACAATGTTTGTGTCACAATATGCCCCCCTCTATACCGTGTAAGTTTGGTATATAACATTTTTTCATATTAATACAAATAACGACAATATTCAAAGTGGACATAGTTATTGCCCCACCCTGTATGTATATGTGTATGTACATATGCATATATATACATGTATTATTTAAATTAATCTATATCATTACTATATTTTTTTATTACCTTGTAACCTAAGAAAGCATCAATTTAACATAATTATTTTCGTAACTGATTACATGTAATATTTTTTCTTTTAATAATCTGTATTTCTAAATATTTTTCTATATTTTTGAGCAACATTTATATTATCCATTTTTTGTTTTTACGTTAATATTTATACGTTATTAAATGATATTTTGTGTTATTAAATGGCAATTAATTGCATTCACTGATTTTCCAATTATTTAAATTGAAATCAAATTTGTTCGTCGAAGACTGCTTTTTTGTGAAATTTACTATAACAAATATATGTATACAGTATAAACGCGTCATTAAAACATTAATTACATTTAATGCACAAACTTGTGTTCAAATGTGAATATAAAAGATCTAGTTTCATACTCTATTGTTTCGGTGAAATTAATAATATGTTTCCACTGAACAAAATGAAAAATCCACAGGCAAACACAAGATTTTCGAATAAACAAATTAAGTGCAATGAAATATACTATACAGCATGTGCAGTTTAACTACATACGTGAAAATGTTTCATTAACTATTGGAAATACAAAGTTGCTTAGATGGAAGTTCTTATATTAGTCAAGTTTGTATGAGACAGTATAATATTGGACTTGAATGTTTTGTGAGAATGTTACTTGTAAAATATGTAAACACAGTATTACACATTCTCCTTCGAATTAAACAACTTTCTTGACAATTGTATAAACAATTGATTTGGAAGTGATCGTTTGTTTAGTAATTATTATACAGTTGAACCAAGTATTAAGTGCATCGGAACATTAAGGAATTTCTACAAAATGTAATAATTTTGGGAATTCTCGCACTACTGAAACAACATTAAAAAACTATGTATTTATTTGCGCGAAGGTTTCTTCGAAAACATATGGTGCTGAATAGAAAGAAATGAGAACGGAGAAGAAATAATTATACCCATGGGAACTACAGTTTCTTGGGACCGGGAGGGGGGAGGGGCGGAAAAACGCGCGAAAGAGAGAATGAAAGAATGTTTTGAGTAAAAAGATAAAAAAAACTAGATGAAGAAAGTAAAAAAAGGTTAAAGAAACACGAATACTGTTGTCTCAGACATAACAGATTGTTATATGAAACATGATGTTTTAGAATGCCTTATATATGTGCCAGCTATTTCTACTTATATTATTTTGATAATTATATTTTCCAATTTGCATAAAGTTTTATTTTCGTTGTATTTACTTTTAATGGTTTTCAGAACACAAGGAACACGTTAATTATTTGAATAATCATACGTTGATGCCAACAGTTCATATTTGCTTTAATAATAAATTTTCAACTGCTTATAAGCCATTCAAGTTGCGATAAACATTTTACAGTATATATTTGAACTGATACAATTTGTACCGTTTATTCGAGAAAATATTTGAAAAAACTAGTAAAGAGGTAGAAAAAATATTAAGATTATGCTATGTTTTTCTTGATTACTTTATGTAAAATATCCAGCATTAGTAATTCTTTGACTTCACATTTAGTCGAGGATTCTTTTTATGTTGGCATCAACTAATACGATATTATAATAATCATGTAATAAGTTATTACATTTGTAACTTGATTTTTTGATTTTGAATTAATAAAAATTCAGTATGTGATTAAGAGTTATTGACAGCAAATTTTTCTGTTCAATAGATCCCATTCCTACTCACCCGATTCTACAACCTGCACTACCGATAATAAACTTCGTATCCGTACAATTAAATTCCAGCTGGTTTGTGAGTTTTCACACTTTTTAGAACTTATAAAATATGTCCATAAAAAGCTGAGCGTTTTTAGCATTTAGTTTACCCAATGTATAATACTAGCAAACCATTTTATGTTAATGTTTACAACTATACTTATCTGTATATTACAAATTCGCTGAAACTAAACAAGGCTGTTTTTATATTTAGATAGTTAAATTACTACAGTAGACATTCGTTTCCCGCTCTAGTCGGGGCTGTAAAGGACCAGAATTCCAGGGACCGTGCAGGAATCGGACACCAGTTACCCGAGCGCTTTCCCCACCACTCGGCCGTTCAGTCGTGCGACGCAGCTACATATAGGGTGGGCTGGATTTGCGCACTTTACGGTTACATTAATTATCTCCGTTATTTTTAGAGATATCAGAAAAGTTTATTCACAGAAGTTGTTCAGTATGAAGAGGGCTATTACTTAGCAGTAACAAGTTTTTCGTAGGTGGAGTATCTTCTAAGTTTTCAAACTTAATTGTTATTTTTATTAATGATACTGAAATATTATGGAATAAAATACTTTTATTGCATAAATCGATTCTTCAAAATATTCTGCGTAATAAAGTATTAAGGTATTGTGTGAAAAAGGTAATAATTCGTGACATATTTTAGTAGCAAATGTCTAGCTTGGTTAGCATCTTTTACCCATTACGTGTGATCCGCGAGACAAGAAGCAATCAAATTGCCACCAATATTCATTGCACCAATAAAAACATTATTAAACAGTATTATATACACTGCGCTTTCCGTGAGGAGATATGCGAGTTAAACGCGACACCGCATGTGTCCCGCCTGGGCGTGCTGGGCGACAGAGTAGGGTACACGCACGTGTGTGAGAAATACGTGTGAAGCAAGGGGCGTGGCTTCCGTGCAGATAACGGTGGCGCGGGAAACGAATGTCTACTGTATTTATAATACTTAAAAGTTCGACTTTTTTCATTTATACATAGAAAAATATTAATTGTATAAATATATATTTACTTACATAGAAAGAAGCAATGAACAAAAGATACGTACTAAATTTTGAAAGTATATTGCGTGTGTTTACAAATACCAATAGGGCCTCATCATAACGAGCATGTTTTATCTCTTACAAGAAAAGATAAGATACAGTTTTCACCTGTTATCGGACATTTCTTATCAAACCGTTGATGATTCACAACGGATTCACATTCATATCGCTTTGGTGTCCTAACGCGTTTTCAACGATACATCTAGTTACTTCAACTACGAGTGGTTTTTAATTGCATTATTTTCAGTGGTTTACATTTATTTGATAAAGAAATGTGTTCCAAAAAGCTAATGTGTTATTTTACTCTTGGTTTACGTAAGTAAATATATTAATTTGTGTAGTATTTAAAATTGAATAATCCTTGAATGATCAGTCGATAAAATTACAATTGTACAGCGTACTTTTACATATATTTTTTCTGACTATCCCGACATAATTATGCAAAGTGCAAAATCGAGTATTCCTAAAGAAGCATTGATTGCCCCTGCTATAATTATGTAAATGCTTCAGCTTTATCTGTAGTTAGTAATACATATGTAATACTATATGAATTAAATAATTTTCAATAATACTAAGAGAAAATAGATTATGATATTACATTAACCTTATAACTTTGAACAGTGATTATGGGACACTTTATGGATGAAGTCGAAGCAAGACGTAAAATTTTAAAGGGGCGAAAAACAATTACAAGACGTTATTATTGTAAGTGAGAAAAATGTTAAAGAAAACTATTTTTAAGGAAAAGTAATTTCGCATACAACAGCTAAATGTATTTAACTTTTTAGGGGGAACAGCGATTCCAGCGTGGTCTATAGTGCTATTGATAGGAATTAGTATGTTGCTCGCCGGCGGTGGACTGTACATGTTGCTACAAAAATTTGTAGTCGACAATGCTACCACTGGAGAAAGTCATTCCTATCAGCCTGCATTGCAAAATGACGCTTAAATTTAAGAACATACCAAAATTCAATTATCGCTCATTACAGAAATCTTTTATACTTCAGAAGAAAACAATTTAAATATTTTTAAAACCATAAATTTTATACAAACACAGCGACAATGTGTTATTTATTTTAATACAATTCTGTCTTTGACAATCGTCTAGTATTTTAATCTCATTAATTGATTATCGAAATTGAATAATAGCGCTACTTGTATAATTGTACCTTTCGGATTATTTTAATTTTTTTACTAGTTCAAAATTGTGAAATATGCTGTTTCATAAATTACGCATGAATTAAATATAGTTATATCATTGTCAAAAGATACGTAAGTCACAACAGATATCGTTGAATTGACAGTACGACCGGAAATCAATTACAGTTTGCTTTGTACATTCGGATAAAAGAGAATTATCGATTTTCGGACTCGTTAGATTATATGATACTTGTCGGAATCGAAATAGGCTGTCACAACAACACGGTTATTGAATTTTCGTCCTGTAAGTGTTTGCTGTGCTTTCTGGCAGTCGATCACACTATTAAATTCGACGAACACCTGTAACGAACAAGAATGTTTAAAAGTGTCTTTGTATATTTAAACGAACAAAAAATTATAAATATATGCATTTTACTGAAAACGTACTTTTCCACATCCAGGTACATCAACACCTTCTATAGGTCTGGGTATTTCCACGGACCGAACTACGCCGTATTTGTTACATTCTTCTTTAATGTCTTCTAAAATATCTTCGTATTCTTCTTCTTCCATTAGTTCCTCAGGAGTTACCATATTTAATAGGCAAAGCACCTGTGTGCGTAATAAACAATTTGTTTTTACATTTGATACTTCATAAAATAGTAAAACAAAACTACAAGAATACTATCAATTATAAACGTAAATGAAAAGAAATTATCTTACCTCAGTTGCTGGTCCACTTGTGCCCACCATAGACAATCCAGGCACTTGAATTTGAACTGGAGCCTGTGCGCCGATCATAGGATTTTTGGCACCTACGCTAGCTCGTTGAACAATCAGTTTCTTGTCTCCCAACTGCATTCCATTTAATCCAGCAATCGCTTGATCAGTCATCGACACATCAACATACTCGCAGAATGCATAACCCTTGGATAGACCTGTAGCTGAATCCTTTACTAGATTGAATGCTCTTAGTTGCCCAAAGCTCATTAATAACTCCTTCACCTGTGTGTAATGAAAATAACATTACTTATTTGCTTATACAGTATTAAGATAATTTAAATTAGTTTAGACTATGCAACTTCCTTGTGTCTATGTTTTAATAAAATTGTTTTTTTCTGTAAATGTGCAATGATTATAAAAATTACAATCTTATAAAACTACACTGCTTAAAGCAATTAAATTATAAATTTTTGATAAAAATCAAACTAAGTGTTAGTATTGTACGAAAAAATTGGTAATTTCCAAAGTTACAGTATTTGGTTCGTTTTTTTCGCTTAATGGACACAATACCATTGATAACCGATCTTCTAACTGTTTTGAGTAGTGTATAATACCATTTATACATTATTATATGTTCTTAAATTACTAATAAAAATCTGAATTAAAATCTATACACAATCTTGAATTATCAAGTATATAATACTTTAAATACAATATAAAAGTTGCATAATCCAAATGTAAGGAATTCACTATGTATGTACAGATGTATTACATCTCGTCTATTTGATTTCCATTTAACATTTTCACATAATATCTTTCTTACATACAAAAGTTTTATTCCTGTCCGGAACAGGTCTTTACAAATGTTTCAAACATAATACTCTTGCTGTTTGAGTGTGGATTTCTCCCATATTCATTTCTACTTTCTTTTCAGAAAGAAATATACCTCAAATTTACTTACGTTTCTCCATTTCCTAGAAGTACTGAAAACTCTGAAGCAGAGATAACAGCATGTTGCGTTCAATGAAGATTTGCTATTATTATTATTATTATTCCTGGGAGTTGAAACTTCCAGCCAACTGTGATACGCATATCTTTACAGTAAATGTTTCAAAAACCTTTCAGTTAATTTATTAAAACATATTTATGTAAATGCAGCCTGATCTGTCTTGGCTAAAATGTTATGTAACAAAGATCTGAAACACGATCCGAGAAGATAGATAGTTTAACCAAATCATTCCAGGCATTTATGTGCATTATCTGAATAAGATTTGATTTGTCTTAGGTATCAGACCATGTGGAAGAATAAGTCGCTATTTCAAGCGACTATAGAAGTTTCACGGTTATATATCGAGATTTTATAAGATATACTATTCCTTTGTACCATTCAAAATTCGCTATTGCATTGTTAATACTCGTATGAGTAAGCAACACGCTATTATCAATGAAGGTCTATCGAATTAGAAAACGCACCATTCGTATAGAAGAACCGAGGTCTTCGGAAAAAGGGCTACAAAAGTCTCTTAAGCCCAATACGAAGGCAAGAAAATGATGTAAGTACTTGCCTCGAGGGACTGGGCTAGCCTCTCTCCAGGCAGTGTGGTATTTTGTCATGTTCAGTAGTAGTAGTGGTAGAAGTAGTGGTAGAAGTAGTGGTAGTGGTAAGCAAATGCTTTTGATCGGCGCGACCCTAAGCTAAGAAATGGGGAGAAAGGGCACTGGTATCAGTCCACAGTTACTATACAATAACCAAATGGTTATACTTTCTTTTTTGATTGTATTATTTCAACAATGTATCACTTGATGAACACAGCATTAACATTTCCAGTGTTCAATGTAATCGCATTTTTACCGACTTTTATATTCTTACTTTCTCTTTGCACTTTGTCTTTGTACAAATGCACATTACTGATACTCATAAACGCATAAGTTCATTCGTGTAACCTGTAAATGTAACAAGGCACAAGGACGAAGAGCTGTAAAGCCTGAAAAGCCTGTAAAGAAAACAGCTGCAAGAGAAAAGATACTCCTGAAAAGAATAGATGCCAAAAGACTCGGAGCTGTTACCAGATGCACATAAGAGTATGTGTTGACCCTGTAATCCCATAAAAAACCGATGTATTCGAGAAAACGTTGATTTATTTCTTGTAGTCCTAAAAATCTGTTTCGGATATATAATACTACAACATAAGAACAGACTGATTCTGAAAATGTGTTTTAAATGATGGAATGCGAAAAACCTTTATAACCATTACGATGATTCTTTACACCTAACAATGTTGTTTCTGAATTATTATTCCAAGTATAATTCTACTTTCTCCTCCTACTCCATCCCTCTATAATATCTGATTTGATATTGTTGTTTAAAAATCCTAAGTTTAAAGAAAATGTTCGTATTCCCTTGGCTGGGTCCACGATGATCTTCAAAGAACTGTGAATGAAACGCGACCGCTGCCACTGCATGCCGCCTGATTGCTGCAACACTTCTAACCATTTCCCTATCTGCTAACGAATAACGCTATTTCAAGAAGAGATGAAATTTCCAAGGGACAACGAAGTTCAACACTACCTATTCTCAGCCAGAAATACAAACGGAATCACAACCTGATTGAACTAGTTGAATAATACCTAGTCGACGTTGATATCCAATGGATACACATACATACCTCTGTGGTATTTGGGTAGCTGACACATCTTCGTAAGTTTGAACTCCGCTAAGTAGCTAAATACCTATGTTATAATTTAATCCTTTGGTATAACTCACAATGCTGAGAACTAGCATATAGTCAAAGTAATCCTACAGCATTGTTATACAATAATGCAGTTGGTTTAATCTCTGATGCAATTCAAATACGCTTGATTCTTTTTACATTTTGTCATGAGAATAAAATGAAATTTATTTCAGATATTGACATCAGTGACTAAAAACTGCATCCAAAGGTGTGCAATAAACGGAATATTATTTCACGGATTCGTTTGCATACCTGTTCTTCGTTCAAATAATTGGGTAAACCACCAATGAAGATCTTGTGTGGAGAATCTGGAAACGTGAAATATTGCATTATATTTCATTTAATACCAAAACTAGATATTTTAAGCATATACAGAATATATAAAAAGTATGTATAAAACATACCGGGAACCGTACCTGGCACGTTCATGCTTGGATTATCAGTCATTCCCGGCATCGGTTGGTAGTCGTGTGGTCTTCTTATTTTCAAACTCTGCCCCTTGAAGTTGATGCCATCAAACGCCATAGCTTGTGTTGTTTCGTCTATCGAACGAAACTAAAATAAAATAAAATGAATACTTTGTTGTTCATCATAAGTGAGAAAACATAAAATCCTGTTTTTTAAACAAATATAATTATACCTCTAAGAAAGCAAAGTTTTTGTCTAAATTAATCTGACACGCTAATACTGGATTTCCAGCAGCCTGCGCGAGTCCGGAGAGATGCATTTGTTGATTGAAAAACTCCATCATTTCTTCTTCAGTCACACCGAATGGAATGTTTCCTACATAAAGTCTTCTTGCTTGTCGAGTTATTGTACTACCGACTACTGGGACAGCTGCTTGTGGTGTATCCGCCACTATATTTGCAGGTATTTGTCCTGCGGCTTGCATTGCTTTATACTGTTTCAATTAAAATGAAGTATTAGTTTTATAGGAAAGCTGATGTATTAAGATTACAAATTAAATATATTAAAAACATGAACCTGTAGAGGTGTAATGTGCTCAAATCCAGGAGGTGGAACATCCCAGTAAAGAGATGGCTTTCTTCTTCTAGAGCTACGATTCTTTTTAGGAGAACTACTCCTTTTTCGGTCTCTCCGATCCTTGGAACGTGAACGCGAACGTTTCCTACGGTCTCTACTACGAGACCTGTGTCTCCTATCACGATCTCTGTCCCTATCCCTGTCCTTGTCCCGATCTTGGCGATCTCGATCTGTGACAAATATGTATAAATGTAAGTACCGATTGATGTCATTCTCTTAATAACAATAGCATAACTCCCGTATTCGTTTACAAAACATGAAGTTTTCTAAATACTTTTTAACACATTCCAATATTTAACGGCATTTAATATATTTTCGTATTATACTTTGCATACATGTTATATTTTGCAGATTACCATGCACATAGTAATAATGTTCTAAGAGCTATTGTCTGTATATACATATATCATTTAGAATGCTACGTATATTACATGCATTCATTGGCTGCATCTCAAAAATGAAATTATTACAAAAATTACAAATGTTTTGAAGTATAATGAGATATGTATAGAAACAAGAGCAACCTTAACAGAAATCAATGAATTAATGTCATTATTAAAAGAACACAAAATTCTCAATACATAATGAGAAATATACCCATAAGACCAATCTTCGTGAATACGTTTTTCAGGTTATCGATAAATTCACAAGATTTGACAAAAAATGGCCAAACGTTATTTAGATTATGTTGAAATGAATTTCGGATGACTTGCGGTTAAAAATCTCGCTTTTTATGATGAAATTCTAACGAGATATGCCCGAGAGTATGTTTATCCACTTCATGAATGCGTTTCTCCGGCCATTACAATCGCCGACTTATTTACCTGGCTGTAACGCGGGAACAGTGGCGGACAGTACAGTATTTTTGGAATGTTTCGAATGCTTACCTCCGTTATAATCTTCGCCCATTTTTCTACTTATTACCTAGAAAAATATTTTCGTACGATAAGCGATACTGTCTAAATCACGATGGGATCGGGAAATGTCAATGCGTCTTAAAACAAATCTTTATTCCGAAATGGCGATAGGCTAAATAGGTAGATGTTGGCTAGTGAATAATACTGAATAATACTGTTAACGACGACATCCACTTCCAGATGGCGTAAAGCTCGATTGGATGTAGGGGCTCGCTGCCAACTTCACTCCGACCACCGAGTGAAGAATAGCGGCAGTTGGCAGCGTAGCAACGCGACAGTAGTGACACTAACCGGAGTTCCCCATTCGAGTTCCAAGAGTCGCCTTGGACGGTAGCGTGTCTTACGTAAACCGCTGTGATACTCACGTGTGTGCAGATATAAAATAAATACTATTTAGTTTACACCACGCTGATAGTTAAACTCGTCATTTCACCACCCTCATCTCGGGCACGAAGGAAAAGCTTCAAATTAAGAACACGGCAGAAGTAGGACTGCCCTGGGGTCGTGTGACCCCCAGTCCATCCTACATGGAATTGATCTCTTCTCGTAATGAACAAATATAAAGCGACGTAGGGATAAGGACCTCCTACCACTTGGTATCGAGAATTACTGAAACTTATGCTAAATTAATGTTCGATTTAATATTTATTTCAGTACTTGAAATAAATTTACCATGTGGTAGGAGGCTCTTCTTCCCCTACGCTATTTTTTCCCCTAACGGAAGCGAGTTTGCACGTCAGTCAACCCCCACGAGCAAACTTGGCTTCCGCTAGAGGAAAAAGTGACGTAAGAGAAGGACCTTATACCACTTGATAAATTTATTTCAGGTACTGAAACAAATGTTAAGTGGAAACCGAGTAAGTATCGATAATTTTTGTCAAAATATCGATAATTTTTACAAAAAGGAAAGCTGCTTGAAAAAATAATAAATACAACGAATAGACACAAGCCGAATGCATCCGGATCTAACCGACATACCCTCGCGAGATTGCTACCCTATCAGCCAAACCTGCTCTAACCAAATATTACTAGATTCTGCTGTAGACCTGATGTGCAGATTTGCTACAAATTTGCTAGAGGGTCTGCTACATCAGTACTGTCAGTAAACTAGCAGCAGTATTACAACAGGTACCTAGTGACGTGCTTGACGTCAGAAATTGAAGAGACCTGCTAATATTCTGACGACTGCCTTACGTTACAAATGCAGTAGATCTGCGCAACTTACTTTATTACAGATTAAACCGGTTACACTTCATCTAAATGCATCTACAATCGATATTTAAGTATTTAAATGATTATTTGATATCAAATCACAAAATAAAATGTATATGTTAACAAATATTAATAATACACTAAGGTCCTGATAAGTGTGAATGACTCGGTTCCACGGAATCACACTCACGGTGAGCATGGACAGTTGTCAGCACCACGTCCATCTGTTTTTTGCTCGAAACTCGAGCCTCGGCAGCTTGTCTTTGTAGTGTTTCGACATAGAAAAGAACAAACGAGTAAAAAAGAGAAAGAGAAAGCATCTTTTTCCACTCGATTCGACTGCGTGAGACCGCCTGCGACTCTCCCACTTCCCACGGGAATCCCACTGGCCACTGATGCCAAAATCGTGGGATTTTCACGCGAGCGCTTATCCTCTCCATGCCTCCCGTGGGTATTTTACACAAGCATATGTAGCCTGTCCGTGAGCTCTGCCCCCACTACTCCTACTCGGCGACTCACCAACACAAGCGTTTTCTACCTCTGTCCGTGTGCGCTCTGCTTCGGGTGTTCTCGGTAAAAGTCTACGTCACGCGTTTACGACGCGACGGCCGAGTGGCCCAAGCCAGGTCAAAATCCCGTATCCCAAGCAATCTAAACGCCGAGAGTCGAGAGCAGCATGAATTCTCTAACGCCCTCATGACGAGGGACCCCGTCCATAACCCCGTTCGAATCCCGATGCGACGCTTTTACTTTTTATTCTTAATTATTGTGTAATTTTAGTTTGTAATTTGCCAGTAAAATAAAAGGTTCAAAAATATTAATTTAAGAAGCATTTTACAAAAATGGGAGATGTATTTATTACTCTTTAATATTTAAATTTTATATTACACAAATACATATTCTCTTATATATACTATAGGCAAATTATTCTTACAATTAGATGTTACCTTCATTCTAACTATTGCAGTACATACATATGAAAACATTGGAAGAAAAATCCATCACATTAATATGTTACGTACAGTAAAATGAAAGCTTGGAAGATATTAATTTCAGAAACGCTTCATTGTCATATTCGGTAGTAGTACTATTATTCCAATTGCGGTTTAAACTATGTGCATATGTACTTCTTTTCAGATATAGAAAAGTAAAGGACCGACGCCGACAGCAGAATGATTTCTCTCACACGCTCGTTCATGATGAAGACCTCGTTCGAATCCCGATGCGACCGTTTTAGTTTTTATTTTTAATTATTGTATAATTTCACTTTGTAATATATCAGTAAAATAATAGCTTCGAAGATATTAATTTGAGAAGTATTTTCAAAATTCGAGTTTTGTATTAATGATATATTTCGCGTTTCTGAGAACCGTTGCAGTTGGTCCACGCACATGTGATGTTAGTAGTCCTTTACTTTTCTATGTCTGAAAAGAAGTATGCACATAGTGTAAACCGCAATTGGAATAATAGTACTACTACCGAATATGACCATGAAGCGCGTATATGAGCAGGTACTTAGGGTGAGACGTATCTGACCAAAACGCTTGAAACGCGGGCAACCCTATCGTAAATGGAGGCAATAACGAGACTACACGGTGGCTCATTGATCTTTCATTCATCTTTCACTTTTATCTTTATCCGAAAACTTTGAGTAAATCTATAAATATAATTTGGCCAGCCAGCCAGCTCGAAAAAACGCGCTGACGGCGTCGAGCGTCGAACGTCGATAGCCAGCAACCGACAGTCGGCATACAATGTAAACAGACGTATGTAAGTAAATAGATTTACTCGTAGTTTTAGGATAAAGATAAAAGTGAAAGATGAAAATATTATTGGATAATTCTCGTTGAATAAATTTATTTAATCGACGCTCGTCGATAAAGTTACTTTTTTGTTCAAGCTTTGAGTAACGATAAAAGATGAAGTATCTTTTATTCAAATAGTTATATAAAGAATTTTTTATCTAGATAATGCTCATCTCTGCTGTATATGTTAATGAAATATTAACTTTTCTGTATTGCTAGATGTTTATATTTCTCTTATTTTATCGCGTATAATAAGAAATAAGTATATGTAAATATTGCACTGCTAACTAATACATATTTACATTTTATGTAATAATACATACATGTATCTTTTAAAATAAACATGATCTGGATCAGAAAAAATTCTTTAGATAAAATGTATTAACAAAATCATGTAATATACATGTATTGTAAAGAAAGCCGTTTAATATAACTTATTTATATCTATGTATTTAAAAGATAATTTTATTTGAACTGGGAAGGTTGATTACAGTATAAAATAAAGTAGGAATACAGTTTATTTGTATTGACTAGATAAGCGAATGGAGGTATGTTGTAACTGTTTTAATATTATTACAAGTAATTTGTTGACGAATCATTTTTATTTCGAACGATTAAACTACAAAATGAGTACGTTGAAATCCTTGACCCAAACTTTGTAGTATAGTCTGCACCTCGTTTTCATTTTTATGATAAAATACATATGCATCAAATTTAGTAGCTAAACTGCAATTGGTATCTCTGCAAATATATATTTTTTTAATTACATACTCCTTAATATAAGTAAATCAATCGATATTATCATTAATGGAGAACATATAGCATAATTATTTATATTACCTTGCAATAAATGCAAAATAATCTGGAATGTTCATGGTACAACCACAGGAAGAAATTTCCATGTAACTTTGTTTACATATCACCTAAATGTTTAACGAAATTTTAATGTTAAGATATCGCAAAGTTCTAAATCCTAACAATTCTGTATACATACTTTATCATTCATGTCTCCAGTCACTCTAATGCCAATCTCTAGGCATTCAAATTTAACAGGTATTAATTTTAGTGTTTTTGATTTCAACACTTGTAAGATAGCTTTTTCAATTTGTTTAACATCTCCCTCTGTACCAATACATACGGAACCACAATATTTAATGGAAAATCCAGCATTTAATGATTGATGCATCATTTTAGATATGTCAGATGTTTCCTCATTATCTTGTACATCCGAAATAGGTCTTTTTAAAATTTTCTTCAAACGTTCAATACCTGAATTGCGTACGAGATTTACTATTGGAGAATACATTTCCTGTGTTTGTTTATTGTGATACTAAAAATTCATAATATTAAATACCTACTCATATACAACCTCAAGTAGAGTATGAATTAAAAAATACATACTTTAATTATATACAAACACACTGGCTGACCTACAGTTTTTCTCATAATTTTTCCTAATTGTCCCTTAGTGTTTGATGTTATAGCACATCCATTTATCTCATCTAGCACGTCACCAACCTCAACTTTATCCTAATATAAAGGAAAAAATAGAAATCTAAATAACATTAGTACTGATATTTTAAATACTAAAATTTTCATTCTACTTCATGTTTGTATGAAAATTTAAGAGAAAATATTCTATTTCTTACATCTTCTGCTGCTACAGAATTTCTATCTAAATTAATTATTAATGCTTTTCCTTTGGTAAAACTGAAATGAAAATAAGTATTGTTTGTGGTAAAAACTTCCTGTTATAATTAAAATCACTTACCATACAGAAATACCTAAACTTTTACATGGCACCAATTCCAATGCTACACATTCTGGTAATTGCCATGATTCGTCCAAAAAACTAGAATTTCGTAAATTTAATTTAAAATTTAGTTTACTAACTTGAAGTAGTACAGAAAACAATATTTCACCGAGAATTTCATCTCCTAAAATACTTCCTTTATCATAATAATCTATAGCCATCAATGGTGTCCTGACCTAAAGAATATTGTACATACTTTTTGTTATGACATAATTACAGCTTGTAGACAATAGAATAATTTATTTTGAATTGTTTTTTCTTTATTCACTGTTTGAATACATATAAAAATAAAAATAGTTTATTATTATTAAATATTTGTTAAATACTATAACATATTATATGTAATTACATTAAATTAAAACCATTAATAAATGTGACTGAAGTATACCAGTATTTCAATTGGCATATGAAGGCACTTTCGCATCAAACATGTCCTAATTAATTGTCTAAGACGTCCATTAGGTGTTTGCACTTTTAGATTTTGCTTAACTTGTTCAACTATTAATGAATAAGTACAAGAAGAACTGAAAAAATGTTACCTTAACTTTATACGTACTATAAAAAATATATCTTTTGCTACAATTTAACATTTTATCTCAGTGAACCTGAAATGCTTCTCCGCAATTTCTTCCAAGCAGAACCAAGCATCAGGTAATTTTGAAAAACCTACAGTAGTCAAACTCATTAATATGCCTTTTTGTAAACATGTCTCTAAACATTTACAAAATGAGGGCAGATCTACATGTGCATCATCAATCTCTGTATTGCATTCCGTTAATTTTCGCGTCCAACCTAAAAGTAGACAATTTTCATAATATAGATCTCTAATCTATGTATATCAAAAACTGCTTAAATACCTTTCAATTCTTTGATGAGTGGATTAGAGACCGTCATTATATTGTCGAGCAAATTTATTATCATAAATTGACAACTGTTCGATTAGGTAAATAAAACAACAGGCTAGAAATTTGTACTGAACAACGAAATATGTATCAATTTAAACTGACTTATGGTCTGTTCACTTGGTTTCACTCATAGCATACATAATTGGCTGCTTCAGACGACACAACCATTGCGTGTTGCGGCCTTTTCCAGGGATTTATTTTTCAAGAAAAATATCAGACGTGAATCCTCGCCCGTGGAGTTCTAAAGAACTCTGCTCGTAAGAATATCTTTTGACTTCCTTTTTAAAAGAGACAACTTTATTTAAAGAATACGTGTTTATTTATTGAAGGTCAATATTGGAATGGACTCCTTTACAAAACGATCGTTTTTGTTACATTTTGTTAATTACAATATGTCCTTAGATACCAGGAGCCAATAAAATAATTATTAAATTATGAAATAATTCCTGATTTGTTAATACATTTCTTCTAGCTATTCATTTTATAATGTTCAAGCGTTTAACATATTTGCCATGATTTAATATATTTTAGAGAAGGAGTAAAAGTGAAATTCGACTGTTAAAATATAATATAAGTTAAATATAACTTCACTTCTATCTCCTTTTCTAATTACAATCATATATCTTAATTTGAATTTCACGCTTGTGAAGCTTACGCTAGACGCCGTTACAAGATGAGGGCGAGATTCACAACATGCGCAACCGTGAGTATTACACTAGATTTGACTCTGAACTAGAGATGGCGTGCAAAATCACTAACGGTGATTTATCACAGTGATCGCTGAATCACGATCACGGTCGTGATTTAACTTCATTCACGACCGTGATTGCGATTTTTTTATCTTGAATGAATTTACTCACTGCATTCGTAAGTCCTTGATCTTTAAACAGAAAAACGTATTCAATATGATTTTACGATAATTACATTACTATTCGTGTTTGTAAAAATCAGTAGATTTTAGAAGCCATTAGAGATGGCGTGAACTGCTACTTGTGAATCACTCGTGATTTGATCACGTTCGTTCCCAATCACGGTGATTTTTCACAGTGATTCGTGATTTCTCGTGATCGTTTCTGATTGGTGGAGAAACCTAACAGTTCTTTACACGCGACACATAATCTGTATATTTTATATTAACGACATCAAAACAAAAATTCGAGTTATATCGTATAAAGTGAAGGAATAATTAGAAACAATGAAGAATAATGAAGAATAATGAATAAATTAATGATTATAAATTATAATCTACATGTTACCTAGCAAATCATTTTTTTAGAATTTCTGGTTTGTTCTACTGATTTTTACAAACACAAATAGTAACGTAATTCATTGTAAAATCCTATTGAATACGTTTTTCTGTTTAAAGATCAAGGACTTACGACGCAGTAAGCAAATTCACCCAAGATAAAAAAATCGCAATCACGACTGTGTTCGTGATTCGGCGATCACTGTGATAAATCACCGTTAGTGATTTTGCATGCCATCTCTAGTGTTGAAGCGTGGGGTCATGGAACCCCGGTGGAGACACCAGAGACCCCGTGTGTTGAGTTCGTGGGGCCATAGAACCCCCGGTGCATGCGCAAGAGACCCCGTGTGTGTGTGAGGAATCGGGGTCATGGAACCCGCGGAGTATGTGCAAAAGTTTTGAAACGTGATTCTTAATCGTTGTTGCTCGTACGAGTCTCGAGCTCGGTCAAATGTTGCTCGTGCGACTGTCGAAATCTGACTGACACTTGTGCGTGCTTTCGTGAGCAAATTATATAGTAACCCCAGTGACCATGACAGTTTCTGCAGATACTACTACAGCCCAAGTTTAAAAGACATAGGCAGTAGTTAGTTTCTATAGTAACCTGTTGAACCAGGCACGTATAATTAGTATAGGATTGTACAATATTTATGCAGTTATACTAAAGACAATTCGATGAAATGAAGCTTATATTATCTGGCGTATGTTTATTGGTATAAAAGTTTGAAATACAATACGATGTGCTACGGTAAAACACATTTGCGACTACAACATCATGCTATCCGCGTTCGGCGCAGTGCGCTAATACGGAGGCCAACGAAATATCACTGTACCGCTTAAAAAAGTTTTAAAGTTCCATTTATATCATTGTCCTGTGAAAATGTTCATACTTCCAGCAGCATTCATATTCCAATCAAAGAATTTACAGAATAAGGAAAACGAATCTAAAGTAATTTTCCGTAGTTCCATACATCTTTATCTCGAATAATTTTCGAAAACATTCAAAGTACTAGACATTTTTACACTTTGAATCTCATATCGATTTTTAAAATAATCCTAGTTCGATATAATATAGAACGTGGTTTTGTGAGATAGATTCGAAGTTCGCAGCCATTAGCTCCATATTGTCTTCGGTTTACAGTACTTTACCGATGATAATACCGATTGCCCAGGCCTCACCACGAGGAGGTTGCTGCGAGTGGAGGCCCAAGGCAGGTAGGTGGAATCACAAGTTCCACATCTACCCACCTTTCACAATAAACCTTATAAATAACTTAAATCTTAACTATGTAATACTATCTGTACTAAAATCCCTCGGCGGATG